GGCTCTTTCCATAATTTGGCTAATGTTGATAATGCTGCTATAAACATCAGGGTGCACGTACCCCTTTGAATCTGTATTTTTGTAGCCTTTGGGTAAATGCCTGGTAGTGCAATTGCTGGGTCGTAGGGTAGTTCTATTTTTAACTTTTAGAGGAAACTCCATACTGTTTTCCTGAGTGGCTGCATTCCCACCAATAGTGCAAAAGGGTTTCCTTTTCTCCACATCCTCATCAATATCTGTTGTTTCTTGTGTTGTTAATTTTAACCATTCATTTAACCTGACAGCTGTGAGGTGGTATCTCATCATGGTTGTGATTTGCATTTCCCCAGTGATGAGTGGTGTTGAACATCTTTTCATGTGTCTGTTGGCCATCTGGATGTCTTCTTTGGAGAAATGTCTATTCATTAGACTGGGTCATTTTCATTTGAGGTCTGACTGCATTCACTTTGGCCTTATGTGTCATAAAGATGCTGCCTGGAGACCGAGAGATCATTGCAAAGTCCATGATGGGTAAGAAATCAAACAGAAGATGAGAAATATGTTCATAATTTGTTTTTGGAGACTCCACCTTGTGCCAGCACTGCCTAAACACTAGAAATTCAGTGATGAACAAAAATACACCATGTCAAAGGAAAAGACAGACAAAGAGAAGTCAGAGATCCCAACCACAAGGAAAGGGACAGTGTTCTGTTAACAATGTCATGTTTTCATATGAACAGAATTAACAGAGTAAAATCAAGGGAATCCAGGAGAAAACCCTTTGGTAGTTGAACAAGAAACACATAAAATAAATAGAAACCCAATATATATTCTAGTATATGTCCTCATAAAATTCTTACACTGTTAGGAAATATGAACGCTCCCCCCAGGCCCTCAAGAAGAACTGTGGCTTTATTTCAAAGGCATTAAAGTAATCATTTTTTGATCAGAGGGAAATGTTAACCTTCTTGTTACTACAGGCCAAAATTAGGTCAATGTGTAATATAATACAATGAAAAAAGAGAGATTCCATGTTTCTACACTGATACCACAACAATTTAAATAGAGGGTGGGAAGGACATTTCTTTCTAGAAAAATGGCACCTACTAAATATAGAAGGGATGATAGAAATAGAACACCCCCATTTTATAATTACCTTAGCAGTAATCGAAGCAGGCAGAAATCATCAGTGGAGGATAAAAACCTTTAAGCCAGCTGGGAACAGAATCTTCAGAGCCTCAAAGAATCCCGCCCCCAGCCCCCCACCCCAGGTTATTCATTAATTAGGAAGGGGAAAGTGAAGCTTGACAGTGGAGAAATCTGGGGAACAGCACTTTGGCCAGTGATGATACTTAACATCCCCAGTGATGGGACACATGTGTCCCCAACATGAAACACTGAGAAGGACATAATATCAGCCCGCCTCCCCCCTGGCCCTGCCGAAACATTTAACCTGAATCAAGTCATGAGGAAACCATCAAACTACTTCTGTTGAAGGACAGTTTGTGCAACAGCTCAGACTCTGACAATGTCAATGATGTGAAAGACATCGGGTTGGAAGTCGTTCTAGATTAAAGGCATGAAAGGCAACTAAAGAGATATGAACCCCACAGCCATGGTCCTTGATTGGATTTTGGATTCAGAAAGACAAAATGTATAAAGGACATTATTAGGACAACTGGGGGAGTTGATTGCCTACTAGGTATTAAGTAATGGCATTGCAGTAATGCCAAGATGTTCCAGTGTGATTATCCTTTTGTGGTTATGCGGGAGAATACCCTGGTTCAGGGCAGATGCGAGAAAGTGAACATTATACCTGCACTTGGGTGCTGGGATTATGAAGAATTTTAAGCTTTACGTGTGTTTTCAGGTCATCACGTTTTTTAAAAATTAAGAGAAAACATTTGTTAGAGATGGTGATAGCAAATGTCTCTCCTCCTTCCTTTCAGCTACTTCTGGGGCGGCCCCTTCTGGAAGGAATTCCTCCCGTAAGAACTGTGTGTTGTTCAAGTTCCAGGTGCTGCTCCCCTGGGGCATTTTGTTTAAACCCAAAAGTATGAACAAGTTCTCATTTCCTCAATTTAGCTTATGCCAGACAGAATGCCCCAAGGAATTTTGCTGGTAGGCTCAAAAACCTGCCTCTACCACATTCGGGGAGAGAGCAGGACCTGTGAGTTCACAGCGCAGAATGAATTCAAACCCATTCAGTCTAAAAAAATCTACTATGATCCACTATGGGCCAGGTTTTGGTTGGGACAAAAATGCAAATGAAACATATTTCCAGCTGTTGGGACCTCAGAACCCAAGGGGCAACGTATGCGGCACATATATGTGTTGATTTCGGTGTACCTTACCGATGTAATCAGAGAGGTTAACTTTCAGAGCCTGGATCAGCAACCCTTCTTCCACCAGTTCCTTATACAGAGACTCAATGGTCCTGGTGATAAAGCAGACCAGCTATTCCATGAGCAGACACATAAAACCAGCATTTCTGTTAATCACCACATATGCAGAGAACTTTCACCAGATCTATTTCTAAGCACATTTGTATCTATGCAAATAAGTTGATTTTTAGAAGCATTTCTACAATTTGGAGACATACTAGACTTTAAAAAACAATACTTTTGCTCATCCACGTGTACGTCTGACATTTCCCACTAATAAGAATTATATCTGTGGGCATCTGAGACCAGCTATACCTCCTGCAGTCTGCCCTTTCATTAGTCCTTGTGATGGCACAGATAGGAATTAGAAATTGCCCAATAATAGTAGCGCAATGGGCCCACAATTATATATTCAGTTAGCATCTGCAACCCGTAGTAGATCATTAATCCTTTGTGAAATTGATGTTTCCTTTTAACCCAACAGCATAATGGTTTAGAAGAAATATCTATAAAGAACAAAGGCTTATAGGGGAACTAATTCTACTACAAAAGACAAAATGTCTAACGCGGTGAGTGTGATGATTTTTTTAGAAGGATGTTATACTTTTCCATAGTGTTTACAGATGTCAAAACCACTTCCCTAAGGGGGCCTTGGGCATACAGCCAGCACACTGGTAATTTATACTAATTGAGGAAAAAAATCAAGACAGTATCCCACTTAATCAATGAAACTCCCAGTGAAATTAACTGGGGCTTGGCTTGTAGGAATTTAGATAGGTCAAGCTCAAGTATTGAGTTTAATCCTTTGAGATGTTTTATCTATTCCCTTTTCATTTCTAGGGGCCGTATGTTTTAGTTCTACCCTAGTCTTTCTCTAGAACGAAGGATTGTAAATATAACTGTATTTAACCAGTTCTTTGTTCTATGATCCAGGTTAGTATGAGCAAGGATATCAGTTATATTTAAGCCAAATACTATTGGGATAAATGTTAATTCAATGACCCCAGTCTTTGATTGATTGGAATTTTATCCTTTCAAATATATTTAAAATAGGGTTTAAATTAAAATAGCGTTTAAAATTCTGCTGCGAATTAAGAAGGTTTTAATTGTAATGGGATTTGGGAATTACTTCCTTACTTCCTTACTTCCTGCAAGGAAGTACCAACTGTAGGTTTTTAGTTAGAATACCGATTTAATATAAACATAGAATATATGCATAAAATATTAACATAAAATTGAAGAAGATTCTCTAAAACAATCAAAACAAAACACATTAAGAAGCCTGGAACACAAACCTATATTTGGGTCTTTCCAGTGAAATGAGCTTCTGTTAAGGAATAAAACATTTCAACTTTAAAACTACCTTCATATGATAAAAGTACTGGTTTCAGGTTGATAATAACTCGATGAGAGAAAAGGAAGTTGTCTTACAGTGACTTGGTGGAATTAGCCCTGGTCTAGAGACCTAGGGTCTCCAAAATTGAAATAAAAAGTCTTCCAGGAATGAGATAACCAGCTATTTCTGTACGTTTGGGCATAAAAGTGAATAAAATAATCCTGGTCTCTCTTCATTTCGCTAGAGAATGGCTTGCGGCTCATTTACGATAGTTCATCTGTACAGAGGCACATGCAAGAACATATTCAATGTCTAATGGGTATTGTTCACCAGCCACGTGTGTGTGATCTGTATTGTTAAAGCTGTGTTTTATTTGGTAATCCCATCTTTACATGCATGAGAATGTGAATGGATAATTTTAATTTAGTGATTGGGTCATATTGGTAGATTTGATTTTAGCTCTGGTTTGTGTCTGGATAAGGCACTTCGCATAATCTTCTTCACCTGCAAGACTGTTCTTGGATTTGGGACTAATGTAAGAGCAAAGGAGAAAAGTAGGTTTTACAAGCTACTAAAAGACACCTGTGGCCTGTGGCACTGTGTGCATGCATGGGCTGGACCCCCACCTAGGGAAGGGACTGTGCTGCCCCTTGGGTCCCCAGGAGGCATCAATGTTGGTGCTCAGGGGGATTGGTGACCCAGGAACTTGGCAACTGACTCTCAGGATGCTGACCAAGCCCCTCTTAGGCAGCAGTCAGCCACAGCATCTTGACCCTGAACCTGTGCCCAAACGATGGAGAATCAAATGAAGAAAACTGCCTTTACAGGTACACTGTAGGAGCCTTTTCTCCACAGACCCAAAGCCCACACGCCCTCCTGGCTGTCTTTCCAGAGGCTTCCTGTCAGGGCTCCAGGCATGTGCACTAGCCCTGGAGCACTCTTGTCTCCTATTTCCTTCTGGATGGTTCTAAGCTGGCTTCCTTTCTCATGGATCTGCTCTCAAGCAGAGTTTGGGAATGTATCCCTGGTAGCCAGGGGATGACTAGGAAATACTCCCAAACAGGGGAGCAATACATGGTATCCATTAACAAAACCCATGGGAAGAAAGATAAACCCTCAGAATGATTTCTGACATTCATTTACTAGGGATTGTATTGTATTTTATTTTTATTTGCTTATTTAATTGAAGAATAATTGACATACAATATCCTATTAATTTCAGATGTGTATCATAGCGATTCAATATTTTTATACATTACAAACTGATCCCCATGATAAGTCTAGTCCCCAATACAGTTATTACAATATTAGTGACTATATTCCCTATGCTGTCTATTACATCCCCATGACTTAGTTATTTTATAAGAACGTTGTACCTCTTGATCCCCTTCCCCTATTTCACCTGTCCCACAGGCCTCCCCCAGCTGGTGACCACTAGCTTGTTTCCTGCACCTGTTTTAATTTGGTCATTTTGTTTTTTAAATTCCACTACATTTCTTGAAAATACCTGAAAACCTAAGACCTATTTATTTCCAGTGTTAAAGCACGGAAGGGCCGTTTCAGCTTAAAAAACGAGTGTTTAAAATGATTCATGAGTATCGAAGTTTGGCCAGTGGAGCTCAAGGCAATGGAAACACCCCTCAATGAGGCGAAACCCCAACCTTCTCTTCAATGAGCACTTGTGAAGTGCCTCACTGGGCTGGGCCCAGGACAGGGCAGAAAATGGGAACAGTCTCTGCCCTCCAAGAGTATCAGTACTCCCTCAAAAGTTGGATCAGGATGCTGTTTCTTGAACAATTTCTTAAGAACCCCCCAAATTTTGGGGTGCCTCGGTGGCACAGTCAGTTAAGCATCCAACTCTTGATTTTGGCTCAGGTCATGATCTCGGGGTCATGGGATCAAGCCCTGCATCAGGCTCCACACTTGGCACGGAGTCTGCTTGGGATTCTCTCTCTCTCCCTCTGCCCCTCCCTGTGCTTTTACACTCTCTCTTTCTCTCAAATAGATAAATAAAATCTTAAAAAAAAGAACCCAACAAATTTTAAAACTAAAAAAAGTCGCATGATCTCAGAGGTGATGCTGGTGTCCATCCTTTGGCGTACGTCTTTGCAGGCTAGGAGGCCACTCTTCACGCAGGACTGCAAAGCAGCCCCAGCATTTCCAGGGTGGAGAAGGTGTGGTGGGCAGAGAGGGGTCCCTTTCCCGGGCTGGGGCCTCGGATTTCGGTTGTGACCTGTACTCTGCTCTGGGCCGGGGGGCTGGGGGGGATGGTGCTCAATGTGTGGAACAACAATGCTAGAGCACACCTCACCTGTCTGCTGTCAGATCTTTGTCCTTCTTCCCTCTTTTCCCTTTTTTGCCTTTCTTCCCTTTCTTTTTCTGGAAAAAATGGAAATAACCAATCATTTAGTAAACACAAGTGAGCGAATTAGCTATAGAACTTAGGTAGGGCAGCAGTTTTTGGTCGTGGTGGCAGGGAATGGGATGGAAGATCCACTGTGGCACACCGGATATGCGGTTGCCACATTTTCCTGGACGGAGGGCTTGGCCTGGGAAACTGCAGGTTGCTTCTGTGGGCATGTCCCTGGGTGGGTAGACAGTGAGGTCACCGCTGTGAAGCTTGCACGGGGCCCGATTGCCAGCAGGCTCCGAGCATTCTGGCTCTCTTCTTGTGGGCTCTCATCTACAAAGGATGAGAGCGCAGTATGCTCGGGTCATCAAGCTGTACCCGTCTTTGACCCCCAATCTCATGCCCTGTTAGCATCAGTTCCCAGATCTGGTTCCCAGAGGGCTCTACATTCTGATGACTGTGACAGCTGGAGGGACATGCTTGGAAAACGATCTTTCAAAACAGTGCTGCTGATCGCTTCACTACTCTGTTTAAAGCATCCGTTGGTACCTCCCCATTGCACCCAGGATGAAGTTAAAGTTCACCAGCATGGTGGATGGGGTTCTTCCAGCCTGGCGCTCTTCCTTTCCTGGCTCCTAGCTCCTGCCGCTAAGTTCTTTCTCAGACCTCCTCGGGCCACCCGTGGTCCCCATCACGCAGGCTATCAAACACTTTCTTACTGTCTCAGCATCTTTCATTCCTCCACATCTATGTCCTCACTCACTGTGAATTTTATTGCAGTATAATTTATGCACAGTAAGTATACCCATGTCCAGGCGGATTGCCTTAAACACTGCCCGGTTCAACATCTAGAACATCTCCTCATCACCCCCGATCTGTCTCTCATTCTGCTTTCCAGTCTGTGTGTGGCTGTTCCGCTGACCTCACTGTAGATTCACACTGCTTGCTGTTGTACACGGAGTTGTACACTGTAAACTCCCTATGTCTGGCTTCCTTCAGCTGTTATTATGATTGCAAGATTCACTGATGTGATTGCACAGAGTGATACTTCATGATTTTCAGGTTTTTACACATTAAAATGTTTATTTTGAGAAAATGGTAGATTCACATACAGTTGTAAGAAATAATACAGAGATCCTGAGCAACTTTTACCAGGTTTCTCGCAATGGTAACATCTTGCAGAACTATCTTACAAGGTCACAACCAAGACACTGGTATTGACACTGGAACAGTCAAGATACAGAACATTTCTGTCTCCACCAGGATCCCTCAGGTGGCCCTTTCCTGACCCACTCACTTCCCTCCCACAGGCACCCCATCTTTAACCCCCAGAAACCACGAATCTCTCTTCCGTTTCTGTAATTTTGTCCTTTTGAGAATGTTGTATCAACAAAATCACAGAGTATGTATTTTTTTGCTTTTCACTCGTTATAATTCTCAGGAAATGGGGAGAGGTCATTTTATGTATCAGTGGTTGTTCTTTTTTTTATTGCTGTTTTCAGTTTTGAGTTATTATGAATTAAGATGTGTGTGTGTCTGTGTGTGTGTGTGTGTGTGCATGTGCACGTGAGTCTTTGTTTCTCTGGGATAAATGCCCATGAGTGCAATTGTTGGGGTGTATAGTAGTTGCATATTTGGTTTGCAAAGAAAGTGCCTAATTGCTTTTCAGAGTGCCAATACCATTTCACATTCCTACCAGTAACATATGAATGATCTAGTTTCTTCCCATTCTTTCCAGCAATTGGTGTTGCTACCCTCATGAGTGTGTGGTAATTTCTCATTGTGATTCTAATGTGCATTTCCCTCATGGCTAGTGGCATCTTTTCCTGTGCTCATTTGCCCTCTGTATAGCCACACCAGTGAAATGCCTCCTTGTGTCTTTTGCCCATTTTCTAATCGGTTGTTTTTTTAACTGCTGAGTTTTGAGAGTTCTTTGTATGCTGTGTGTGGCTAGCTCTTCCTCAGATATGTGGTTTGCAAATATTTTCTCCTAGTCTGTAGTTTGTCTTCTCATGCTCTCAATAGAATCTTTCATGGGGGAGAAGTTTCTAACTTTGATCAAGTCCAAATTTTCCTTTTATGAATTCTGCGTTTGGTGTTTATACTAAGAACTCTGCCTAGCCTTAGATCCCAAAGATGTTCTCCTATATTTTAATAACAGTTTTATAGTTGCACATTTTCCATTTAAGTGCATCCAGTTTGAGTTAATTTTTGTAAATTTTGTAAAATGTATGAGACGTAGGTAAAGGTTCATTTTTCAGTCTGTGGATATCTAATTGTTCCAGCACCATGTACTGTAAAGGTTATTCTTCCTTACATTTTGTACCTTTGTCAAAAATCAGTCAGGAATATTAGTGTTGGCCTACTTCTGGGTTGTCTGTTCTGTTCTTTTGATCTATGCCTCTATCCCTCTACCAATATTTAAGTTTAATTCTATCATCTTCATATTTGTTTTCTAATTGTGCAATCTGTTCTTTTTTCTTTTCCTTTCCTGTATTCTTTCTAATCAATCAAGTACTTTTTACTTTCTCACTTTTTGTTCACTATTACTTATTAAATGTAGTATCATTTAAAGAATTACAAAATATATTACTAACTTATTACAAATTACCTTAGGCTAGCATTTTATGGTGTCCTGAACAACACAATAACCTTACAAGTCCGTTTACCCCTACCTATCTTATCGGTTACTGTTGTTATATATTTTATTTCTACATGTTATAAATACATAAGACTTTGTTACTATTCTTGCCTTAAAAAATAGAATATTCTAGAAGTCTTTTATACTTTCAACAACTGATCATTCCTTCTTACACTTCTTTGTTTCTATTTGGGATCAATTTCCTTTAGCCTGAAAAATATCCTTTTAGTATTTTCATATTGTGGATCTGCTGCTGCTAAGTTCCCTAAGATTTTGTTTGGGAACATCTCTATTTCATTCCATTTTTGAAGGATATTTTCACTGGGTCCAGAGTTCTAGGTTGGCAGTTAATTCTTTCCAATCTCTAAAGATGCCATTCATTGCCTTCTGGCTTCATAGTTTCTGCTGAGAAAGTCAGCAGTAATTCTTACTCTTATTTTTGTTTCCTTGAAGGAAATGTGTCTTAAAAAAAAAAACAAAACAAAAAACCTAGTAAGATTTTGCCTTTTATCTTCGACTTTGAGCATTTTGACTATGATGTGTTGAGATGTGGTTTTCTTTGTGTTCATCCTTGGACCTCACTAAGGCTCCTGAATTTGTGGCTTCATGTCTTTCATCTGATTGGGAAACTTCATGGACATTACTTTTTCGTATATTGCTTCTTTCCCATTCTCCTTCTTTTTTGGGGATTCCAATTACACGTATAGTGCAACATTGACCATGTCTCAAATGTCTCTTATTCTCCATTCTGTTCTTTATAGTCTTCTTCTTCTGCTTCAGTTTAGTTTTCCTATTGGCTGGTCTTTAAACTCAACCTGTCTTCTGCTATGTCCATGCTGTTGTTAAACCAGTTCAAGGAGTTCTTAATTTCTGCTACTGCAATTTTCAGTTGTAGAATGTTCATTTGTTTCTTTTAAAATTAGATTCTCAATTTATTTTTAAATATGGCATTCCTTCCTCTCCTACTTATATATGCTAACAGTCTGGGAAATGCAAAAAATAGAGTCAGGCAAGAATTTTACCTTCAAGGAGCTTCTTAGCATCTCCAGGAACCCCTCTATCCTTAAATTTCTGTGATTACAGCAGGAGAGGAACTTAGGTAACAAAGGGCCTCGGAGAGGTAGGACCTCACCCAGTGATGTCATCATGGGGATGACAGCACATCCAGAGCAATCCAGTCTTGCAGATGTGGAAACTTGCTTTTGTCAGTACAGAAGCTTTGTCTGTTTTGTTCTCTTCTGCACTCTGAATGCCTTGAAATATACCTGGCATATAGTGCTCAATAAATACTTATTGAATGAAAAAAATTAATAAAGATAGTCTGTCCCCCAAGCCTAATTTTGGATCTACAAATAACAGAGAATGTGGGATAGACGGTAATGTAAGTTGATTAATTTAAAATGAGACACACAATTGCTAAGAGAATCAGACCCTGTAGACTTCCATCTTATAGAAAAATCAACATGAAACTATAATTTGCTTGGTGAATATGGAATCAGCAAGGGAGGTGGCTGGATGCTGTGAATTGCTGCTGATGCTATTCTGTGATGTCTTGAGGCACATATTTAGCTTATAGGAATCAATCTGCATGGAATCTAGATTTGACTAATTTATTTGATAATATGTATTGAGGACTTGCCTTGTGCCAGAAAGGGTTACGATGGTGAACAAGCAAAAAAGACAATCATACAGTTCCTGCACTTACAGTCCTTGAGTAGATTCGGGAAGGAAGATACCAACAAAATGATCTCACTAGTAAATATAACATTAAAGCTCTGATAAAGCACCAGGAAGACCTAGTAGACAGTGCCAAGTGTATGCAGAGAAAGCAGACTTACTATGGATAGCTCAGAAGGCTTCCCTGAGGAAGAAAGGCTTGGACTGAGACCTAAGGGATGAGTAGGAGTTAAGAAGGCTAGGGACTGGGGGCATGGGAGTAAAGACGGTTCTTGGGAGAGAACAGCATGTGCAAAGGCCCTGTGGTGGGAAGGAGCACAGTGGGTTTGGGGGACAAAGAGGAAGGTCAGGGTGCTGAAGTGCAGCTTGGGGAAAAAGGCACTGGCCAGGTCAGACATGGCCTTGTAAGCCTGGCTGGACATTGTCATCTTTATCTTAGAGGATTAAAATGCCATTGAACAAGTTCAGGATGGAGTCATAAGATCAGATTTGTATTTCGAAGGGAAGATCCAGGCTGCTGTATAATGTCTGATCAAGTCACTTTCTCTGGATGACGAGGCAATACTGCCTAACTCTCTTCTTCTGGGTCCTTTTTCTCCTTTTCTATGTACAAGGTTGACCATCCCCCTTCTGCTAATGGTCTTCCTGAGGATGGGATTTGGTATAGTTGATTAAGTTTCAGCTCACGAAATTAACACTACATCCAATGTGTGTCTCCGAAATTTACGCCTAAGTCATTGGTTTGGAATTTGGGGCACTCAAAACTCCACAGTTACACAATTACCATCAATCTATTGGGATACCCTGAGCACACCCATTGCATGATAAACCAGCTTAATTCCAAGAGGGAAATTCACAGCAACCCCTCCCTGTGACATATCTTAAGTCGTGACACAGAAATGGCAGGCTGCAAGGAATGAGAGGGGCCAGTAGTGTGAGAGGGTGAGGAAGCCCAGTCCGATGTTGGGCCTGCACAATGATACTTGTTGGGTAAAAGGAGAAAGCCTATTTTCAGCCAGAGGGGTACAGCCACTTCCTGCCTTCATTTCCTATTTTGTTTGGCTTGAATTCCATGTTCAATCATCAAAACATCACTTTTTCATGCAGATATGCAAGACATCAATTGGATCAATGGTGTCATCAATAAGTGCCCTCACCTACTAGTGAGAGAATAACCTATAGATGACCCTCATTAGGCTTCAGGGGTGTATCCTCAAGGAGGGCTATGAAGGACATTCAGGTGTCGAACTGAAAAGTCAGAGTTAAACCGTGAAACTGTAAACTCAATACAAAATGGATCAGGATAGCGTCATCCTAAAGGGACTGGCCGAACTAGACACTCATGGAGCTGGATGTATGAAAAGCTCTAAGAGTACATGAGTTGTGGGAAGTGTTGATCAGCCACGGAACCCTGAGAAAGCCATCAAAGAGGCAAAGGTTGCCCCCCTGCTGACACTGCCAAGGAGGGCAAGTCTGGCCTCTCCCTGGAGGATTCTGGCCCCAGTGGCAGGGCTGGCTGTGGAATGAAAGTGGAAGTAGGGGCCTACGTTAGGAAAAAGCCAGTTCTTTCCTCCTGCCTGTCTCCTTTACTCCCACGTGACTACCACATCCACAGCACTTCTGACACCAGGTGTGCGTGTGCGGGTTTCCCGCACCAAGCAACGCTGGGTGTCGTACAATTTGACTCCATTCTTATACTATCTACTTAGGAATAGCATCAGATCCCACAGGCCAAGGGCTCCGTCCCACCCACCACATCAGATGCCAATCGCAAGTCCGTGTTGTCACCTGTGCTTCTGACCTACTGGTTATAAACCTGAGGTTCCCACGACCCCTTCCCTGAGTCCAATTACTTTGTTACAGTGGCTCACAGAACTGAGGGAAACACTTCACGTTCACTAGTTTAATGGAGGATGTGATAAAGGGTACAGACCAACAGCCAGACAACGTCGTACTTAGGGCAAGTTCTGGGAGGGTCCCGAGTGCAGGAGCTTCTGTCCCCGTGGAGTCAGGGCTGTCACTCTCCTGGTTTGTGCATGTGTTCACCCTCCTGACGTTATCGGGATTTCATGGAGGCTTCCTCACGCAGGCACAACCAATGAGTTGTCTCATTAGAACAAATATGCTCCAAGTACTCTCATGACTTAAGGATTTACAAGGGTTTCAGGAGCTCTGTGCCAGGAACTGGAGGCAAAGACCTATATATATTTTCTATTATCTCACAGGGCCCAGTAAATGAACTTTGCATATTAGGATCTAACTGGCTACTCCCAAACACTGTGAGATGGATTGGTGGCAATTTAAAATTCAGTTCATCTGATCCCTTACTCACAAAGAACTTGCTCATTGCCACTGGCCTCCCCTACAGATCTCCCTACAGGGAGAGAGGGGCAGACATTCCAGGCACACCCCTGGCTTCGCTGACGGTCTTCAACCTATCTGTGGGGCTTGGGTAATGCGAGTCTGCAGTGAGGAGGGGTGGGGCGGGTCACTCTCAGACTGTTGGGTGTATCCCATTTATGAGCCCATGTCCCTGAGGACTACCTAGTGGAACTAGGCACATCTTCCCAAGGAAGACATTTCCCTGTGCAGTAGCCTGGGCCCAGCCAGTGTTCCAGATAGCACACCAGACTCAGCCTGGGCGGCGCTCCTGCTCGTGATTCGAATATGCATCTGCCTCATCCCTCCCATGCTCGCTTGCTACTCACCTTTTTATCTCCTTTCTTCTTTGCTGCTTTGACCGGATGCTCCTTTTCTCTGTCCACAGCCAGTTTCAAGTTTTTTAGTTCCTGTCTCATTAGCTCATCCACCTAGGCGAGAACAAAACACACCACTTTTGAGTGACTCTGTGAGCCTTGTGTTTTCTTTGTAAAGTTTAAAAATAGCGTAAAATCTGGGTTGGCCATGGATGGGAAATTGTGAAGAAGCCCAATGGCGGCTGCTGATGACTTGTTTTCGTGCAATGTAAGTGCGGTGTTACCTGCACTCTGATCTCCGACTCCAGTTCCTTCCGTTTCTCCTGTTTGATCAGTTCCGGGTCATAGTCCTGGGGGAAATTCCATGACTCATCCTTATTCTTCCACAGGTCTGGGGTCCGGAAGGATCAAGGAAAGGAAAATGAATTTTTTTTCAACATGAAGATGAATGGAAACAGTTATTGCAATATAAAACACAAGTCTAATTTTTCTATTCTATTGCGTGGAATACAAGTTTGAATAAAATAATCAAGAAATTATTGATGGCAGAGTGATGAGACTCATGCTTTTTTCCCCCCAACTTCCCAAATGGGAAAAATGTGCTTGTATAATATCTTTTTTTAGATATATATATATAATATGTAATATTATATTATTATAGATGAAGAAGAAAACTACTAATGTGAAAACATAAAATAAAAAGTAGGATACAAGTAATATTCTTCTAATGATTATAACCATGTAAAAACAATACATTAATTATGGGATTATATAATTAGACAAATGTGGGGTGACTATTTTTGTAATATGTTTTATATTACTTTCATTATTCAAATGATTCACTAAAATGTGAAAGATTTTATTGCTAGCTGAACCCATCCGTGATTGACCCCAGCCCCTTGTTAAAAGACAGCACTGAACATAGAAGTACCCGTGACTTCCCCCTGACAGCTATATTTTTGAATTACTTTTTGGATGTGTTTGAAATCATACATGTTTTACATTTCCCTTTTGCCTGGCCCTGGCACTGAAGAGGATGGTTAGGGAAATGTGACCTTAGTGGAAATAAGGATAATTTTGTATCACTGGAAAAAATTGAACTAAAGCTCATTTCTCAGAGGGGAATTCCAAATGTGGGCCGAGGTACAGATCAGCAGGATCCTGGCACTGGGAAGTGGGGTGGTGTCCTATGGAAAATGAGACTTGTCAGTCTGGGAAATGAGATCTTTTCCCAGAATCTGTGCTCAGAATGTGATGGAAACTTGCCAGAACTCAACCTGCAACCCCCACCCAGCTTGGCTATAGGACAGTGATGCCGTTCAACTTGGGGAGGCAACGGAGGGCCACGGGGACCAGGCAGAGGCTCCCCCACCCGGGTCCAATGTTGGCTACCCCTTGGGAAGAAGGGCGGACTGTGCGGGGCTGGATGGCAGTGAGCATGTGAGTGAATGGGCAGAGGTTTCTCAGCCAGGGCCTCCCCTATGGGCACAGCAGGGGGATCCTGAGACTGGCCAGGAATGTGTCCCCCTGATGCAGCTGACTGAGAAGGGAGGGACAGTCACAGACACAGACAGAAACATACGTCTGGGTGCTGTCGACAGCAAGGGGTGTCAGTGATGAGGACCGAAAGTGGAGAAGGTGTCTGGAGAGACACCTGGGCAAACAAATGAGAGGGAAGGGTCAAATCTGCAAATCAATCACAGGGGTCTGGGGTCAGCAAAAGAGACCAAGACAAGAGAAGGGACAAGATGTGGTGTGACCCAGGAAAAGCTGCAGATCCAGGAGAGACGGACAGCAGAGCAAGGAGATTCTGATGCACGACCAAAGCTGGCCAATGGGCAAAAAATTGCCCCAAGGGCTTTGGCCATCTGATGTCTGCCCAGGGGACGCAGCCCATGGTTGGGGTCAGGTGGACCCCCATCCTACTGTTTCTCGGCTGTTGGTCTTATGGTTTTCATCCTCCTGATTGACAATTCCTACTTCCTGAGGGGGAGGGGGACTCTGCAGGACAGCTGTGCCCAGAGCAGACACCTGTCAGCAAAGTGGAAGTGATGGATGGGTGCCTGAGGGCCGGTGAATGTGTCGTCTCAAGGTGATCGGTCAGGACACTGTGGACAGGACAACTACAGGAAGATGGGACGTGGAAATACAGCTCCAGTTCTCTGAAAGTGTGGGAGCCCCAGGCAGAAGACCTGACAATGCTCCCAGTGGTTGGCATGGAAATTTCCAGAAGTGGAAATGGGGACCAGAAGGTGTTGCCCCACACAAGTCAGGCAGGCCCACCTCACTCCCAGTGTGTACTGTGGGACTGGGTGTTGGCCAGAACAGAGCCTCTCTGGAATCCGGGTCCAGCGAGGGGTCTCAGGCTCCCCCGGCTTCCCATCAGAGGACCGAGGCAGGCGTGGCTGGGTAGGGTTCTGCCAGTTGCTATGCTAGCCAGGGTCTCTGCCATGGTCACAGCCTATGGTGGCGCAAATCTGGGGGGACAGATTTTGGAAATGGAGGATGATGAAAGGACCCCAGTTTCTTCTGGGGTGGCTACTGTAGACTTACTAGAAATAGAAAGGAACTAAGTCACAAACATGGTAGAGTTTTCATAGAGCCGATTCACCCATGTGTCTTTCCCCATCAGGGTGGCCACGTGACAGGTGGCCCTGCCTCTGGGGCAGAGAAGGGATGATGGGGCCAGGAGTAGGTTTGACACCTGTCTCCTGGATGCCTGCCTGTCCGTGGGTGACCCCAGAGGATGTCATCACCTGGGCGGGGCAGGTGACCAGCCTGGAATGGAGTTCACATCTCCATGAAGACCAAGAGGGAGAAGACCCAAAAAAGACAGGATGGAGGCCACCCCTACAGGAGTGGGCACACAGGAGATTGCTAGAAAGCTAAGAGCTGAATTTTTATTATTTTAAATAATCAGTCCTGTGACTGAGTACCAGCCAGAGAGGTCTATCCTGTGTTTTACAGTCAGGGAATGAGAAATATTGCATGGCATAAATTGCCTATATCAGCCCATTGATGTAAAACACGTTTTAAGTCATTAACTGAATTTATTCTTGGCCCCGAATCCCCCTAGCAGGTAGATTTTGTGGCTGGTCTGTAAGGTGCATATTCACCCAAGGAAGAGTTAGTTTACACTTCCCTCATTTGAAGGTAACTGTCCTTTCTCAGTGCATTTTCTGAAATGCACATGAACTTAAATTGTGGAAAACTTTAAAATGTATGAAAACTACAACACTTTTTCTTAAGAGTTTGAAATTGTAAGTTCTCCCCCTTGAAAATACTATGAAGGGTTTAAACGTGTTAAAAAGTGCTATTTACCAGTAACGCTTGTTTAACAGATGTCCCCTTTACATGATGGTTAAATCTCCAACAGCAAAGTTCACCTGTTTTTATTAAGATATTTTAAAGCAAAATAGCTTTGCGGTGGCGAGGAAGCTACTTTGCTTTCTCACTAGACAGACTTGCTAAAATCTGGAAGCCATGCATTTCCTAAAGAAAGGGACGCAGAATATTGAACAGGAAGGAACATGAGGCGATTATTTATGTAAAAGCACCTCGTAACAAATTCTCATTCTGGAGTTGTAACTGTGTCTCACAAATAAAGCGGTGCTTAGTGGCCTTTGCTGATTTCACCTCGACCGCCCTTTGAATGGTCCTGGTTTTGCGTGGAAATTTTGCTTTTCTCATGACACTTCTGCACAGGGCACCTCTCAATCCCTTCAAGAATTTCATGGACATTTACAAATGCAGGAAGCTTTTCAGGGCCCTCAAAGCACTAACAACTGCCCCAGGAGCTTTCATCCCCAGAGTGTGAAAAGCTGGCTGGGGCAGTTTCTCACGTAGGGGGGTGATTAAAATGCTAATGTCTTTTTTGAAAAGGAAAACCTTTGATTTTTGAGAAAAGAATTCTAAGATGAAGACATTTAATTTCTTTAAATGACCAGAGACCTGGCAGATAACACAGGAAACGCCACAAACCCAGCCAGGAAAATGGTCCTTCACGCTTCTGCTCCCAAGTGACCACTGCTTGGGTTTTTTTTTTTTTTTTTTTTTTTGCCTTAATGGAAACAGATATTCTACAAACAGGGTAATGGAAACATATTACACAAACGGTGTGGAAAGCCTCAAGAGCTTTCCTGAGTGGGTCAGCAGGTCACCAGCCTTGGCTTCCCACGGGAACATCAGATTTCCCCGTTAATTTTTGTTTTTATCAAAATAATACACGCACATTGTTTTAGACCAAGTCGGAGAATATGGAAAGGATTATAACAAAATACTGTCTAATTCTGCCTTCCAGAGAAATTGTCCAATGACATTCATTCCTGTATTCATTCATTCATTCATTCATTTAAAATTGCGTGGAATAGTTGCAGATTTATCTGCAAATCTGATTTATTCATAAGTTTAAATCATGAGTTGATGGAACCTGACTGTGGGCCAGGCACTGCTCTCAGAGTGGGCAGACAGCAGGGGGCCCTGACATCTGGGACCTGGCGCCCCCCTCCCCCATGGGGAAGCAGGGACACCCATATCCCCGTCAGCTGGAGGTAAGTAAAGTCAGGTGGACACAGGGTGAGGCTGGAGACTGTTACCCCACAAAGGTCTCGGGGAAGGCCTGCAGGGACCAGCACTGCAGGCAAGGGGAACGGACAGCTCCAGGTCCCTGAGGTGGGAGTGACTGGCTTGCTGGTGGAAGAGCACAGAGCCCACGAGAGGCGGGTGTGAGGCGGGAGTGAGGCGGGTGTGAGGCGGGTGTGAGGCGGGTGTGAGGCAGTCTAGCTTCCTGAGAGCTCTTGGATCTGTGTCTCTGTTGTCATACCCTTGTCATGTGGTTACTCTGCTACTTCTTGATTTATGAGTTTGAGACAGGAGCCCCTGACTCCCTGTTATGGCAGAGGAGGGCTTGGCTGTCTCTCACCGACCTGTCTCTCCCCTTATTCTCTCCTGATAGTTATTTCCGAGGAGAAGGCAGCCAGGCCTTCCACCATGCTGAGGAAAACTGTTGCCCGAGGGAGGACTTCAGCAGAACATGAATTGGCCAATGACCTGATGTGTTCGAAGGTGCAAACAATGACCTTGGAGGTTGGTGACAGATGTGTAGAATATGAATATGAGGGTGGCTGTAAAGAGCAAAAGAAATGTGGCACAAAGTAGCATGTGAATAAGGGCATCTCCTGTTGTGGACACACCTGAGTTCCGGAGGCATCCACTGCACGCCAGTGACCCTGCCTGGGGCTGCGTGCGGTTCCTAGCTGGGCCTTGGATATTGTTGCTGCCAGCCTAATTCACACAAGCCACTCAACTTGTGCCCCTGTCCCCACCTCATCCACCTCTACCACACCCAGTCTGTTGTAGGTTGATGGTACGTGCCATCTTTGTATCTTCACGGTAGCCTTGCACATTGGACACAGTGGTTGTTGAATGAATATATAAGTGAGTGAATGTGTCTGATAGCGATTGCTCTGCACTGTGGTTTGTAGTGATTTGAGGGCACCTGCACCCCAATGTTTATAGCAGCGATGTCCACAATAGCCAAGCTGTGGAAAGAGCCCAGATTCCATTGACAGATGAATGGGTAAAGAAGAAGTGGTATATATACACAATGGAATATTATGCAGCCATCAAAAGGAATGAGATCTTGCCATTTGCAACGACGTGGATGGAACTAGAGGGTATTATGCTGAGTGAAATAAGTCAGTCAGAGAAAGACAAATACCATATGATCTCACTCATATGTGGAATTTAAGAAAGAAAACAGAGGATTGTAGGGGAAGGGAAAGGAAAATAAAATAAGATGAAACCAGAGAGGGAGGCAAACCATAAGAGCCTCTTAACCATAGGAAATAAACTGAGGGTTGCTGGAGGGGAGGTGGGTGAGGGGGTTGGGGTCACTGGGTGATGGACATGAAGGAGGGCACGTGATGGAATGAGCGCTGAGTGTTATACAAAACTGATGAATCAGTTTTGACCTCTATTCCTGAAATTAATAATACACTATATGCTAACTAACTTGAATTTAAATAAAATGTTAAAAAAAAAACGATTTGACTTCTCAAACTTGAGTGGCAGCATGTGTTCTAGTAGTTCCTGCTGATAGGGGGACAGTTGTGTTACTTCTCCCGGTTGTTCTGAAGATCAAATGAGATGAACATGGAAAACACAAAGGCTTGTGTGCCTTGGGTGTCTAATAACGTGAAGTTACTGCTTCGACTTCCTTCCTCCCCAGTTAAAACAGCTCCCAAATCCCGCTGATGTCCCCTGTCCCCTATGCCGCCCCCCTCGTTTAGCATCGTGTGCACGGTGGGACCCTCACCACTAGTGGAAAGTGAAAGAAGTTCAGGTGGTGCGCGGACATTTTTATTTTATACAACGAGCATCTCAAACCTAAAATGTCGTTGATATTGCTGCTGAGGATGAGGCTCAGTTTATTGGGGGTAAAAACCATGAGTCAGTGAAAAAATATGTTAAGTAATTAATAGTACCAGTGCTGTCCAGATAAGACCAGAATTAGGGAGAAAGCACATGCATGACTGACGTTTGGAAATATTCTACTTGACATCCTTGTTGCAGTTTCTAGGAATTACCAAAAAGCACCAATGAGCGGGGTCATCGTGGCAGGTCATCCTGTGTTGGGATTCATCCTGAGGGTGGAGTGGAGCCAAAGGGGCTGGATAATTGTTCCAGTAAATTGTAATAGGAATGTCAGAAAGACCAATTCCTACACTTGCAGCTCCCCTCAGATTCTAGCTACTATGCTAATTATGCTGAACAATGGACAAAAGAATTATGTGTCCGTCTGCGGGCACCTGTCTTGGTCTGACAGGATTAAAACATTTTATTGTACATCTGGTATTGATTTTATTAATTTAAACAATCCAGGACAATCCCTTTCATTCCCAGCAAGAGAATGGTCAGCTGAAGTCCTATGGGTTCGAAAACAGAACGGAGGTTTCGATTGTGTTCTCGTACTATTCATACCTGGCTCTTTTTACCGATCCTATGCCTTTAGGCGACTCAAAGGAATTTTAAAATAAAGACGGACAGAAAGTCCAGGCTATGAGCTGCATGATTTCAGCCTCTCCCGACTGAGCGCCTAACTCTTCCCCACACAGGCTGGGTGCTAGGGCCAAGGGTCATGCTGGGTGGACCGGCTAACTCCCAGTTGCCCTGCATATTCTCCTAAACCAACCTTTGTACACGTTATTTCCTTCCTCCATCGTGGGAAGGAAAACACTTGGTGACATTTTCCAGCCGTCATCTTCTTCCTGTTAAAGAAGAATGATACTTCTGTTAATTACAGGGCTACTTTGTCTGGACTAGACAGTACAAGGCACACACATCCTGATGACTGGACTAAGGTAAGGCACACAGGCTCTTTCTTGGTTTATGAGCGAAGGTCCGACCCCTTGCCCACCCACCTGGGCAGTTTCTCTGCTGGCCAGTCTGAGCAGGGCATGTTGCGTCCACCAACCAGCGCATGGATGGTTCTAGAAACTCAGCTCTGCCTGCAGGCTCACTGAGGTTCCCCTGTGTCAGTCACCTCTCCCGGGGTACCCCACGCCATGAGTTTGGTCCTGTTGTCTGATGTTCTGGTTCCTTCTTTGCTCTGAAAGCTGATTCCCAGCCTGAGTCTTCCCACCTTCCTCCAGCCGCTTGTAGGGACATCAAGCTGGCTGCAAAGTGAGGAAAGGCTGGAGGGGAGGCAGAGATGGCCATCTTCTTTCTCATTAGAATTCCATTTTCCCATCTTCTTTTGTGGAAAATTGCTCTTTGGTCTGAGGCGAGTATGTCCTCTTCTGTGAAGCTGTGCTGAATTCTTCTAGATGAAAAAGACTCTCTCCGTACTGTGTAGGATTTGCTTCTACTTCCTGGCACCTGCTTCTCTGGTCCAGCAGACATGGGGAAGGGAGTGTGACATAATGGGGGGGGGATCCCAAAGCCTGGTGGTCAGTGAGAGTCCGAGAATCCCAGCGTAGGACAACTGGGGATTCTTCACGTGAATGGGCACGTGGCAAAGTGCAAATAGGGCCACCTCTGTTACATTTTTAAAGTGCGGGCATTTGGCAAATACCTCTGAACATATAGGTTCAAATGTCAGATTGGTCACTCAGTGGCTTTCAGATAATCTGATTGTTCCCTTAGGGTCTGTGTCCTCCAGGTTGTGGGTGGGGTTACTGTGATTTGGAAGAGGCTGATTATTTCCCACTCAACCAGGAGTGAAATTATACTCCAATTCTAGATCTAGAAGTGAAAATCAACCCAGGAGCTCTCATTACTATTAACCATATTTTTAAAAAAAATGCACCAAAATAATGTGATAGCTCATTGCAAAAAAATATTAAGCATCCCTTAACTGTTTTCAAACTTGCATTTAGAATGTCACTTTACTTTTCTGCCCACACTTTTCTCTCAGTTCCATTGAGATTAAGAATCAAAGTTATTCATGCCTTTTCGGGATTTAGACCACTGTTCCTTTCTGGAAGTGGTGGTTTTTGAGTGGTTGAGGTAGAAGGAAACGGGAAGAAAACTCACACACCTTCTTAGAGGAATGCATTTTCATGTAAACGTTTACATACAATTTCCGGGAGTCTATCCTTGGGGTCTCTGTTCCTTGAGGTTAAGGGCGCCTGTCTCCTCTGGAGCTCAGCAGCTTCTCACTTCCTCTTATCTTCCCCTCTTGCTGCCTTTCAGTGAACACAGAATATGCTCAATATGGACGTTTCCACGATGACATCCTTATTCCTGATAACAGCCTCTGGGAATTCACAACACTCACATCTCCATCTTTGTGAAGTAGTACAGAATTTCGTTTGAAATCCTCTAAAATAATATAAGAACGTGGTCGGCTCAGTGGTTCATTATGGAGCATCTCCTTGTGCCAGGTGGTTGGAGAAGGGGCGCTGGGGTCACAGAAAGGCTGGGTGGCCTCACAGACAAACAAAAGCTTTTAAAGCTAATGATGCTGTGTGTGGGTGCCAGGCTTTTCCCAGGATTTAGCACAAAGTTTGCTGAATGTAGAGAGGACTCTTTGGTAGTCACATGATCGTGTGTTCCGGACAGGTAAAATCCATTTAAAATAGTTCCAAATGGTTTAACATATGGATTGAAAAATAAATATAAAAAACAAGGAAAGAGTTGTAGGGATGGATTTCTAGTGCTCCTTTTCTGGCTCCTAAAGCCAACGTGACATCCCCACAGCCGACCTGTCAGGTAAATGGTGTAACTTCGATACTGAAAGCATATTTGCAAAGATGGCTATTGGTTTTCAGAGGATGTCCCTCTGACACTAGCATTCCCCTCTATCATTTATTCGTAACAGGGATCTCCTTACCTCTGATCCTTAACACTTTTAGAGATGGTTTGCAAACCAAAGATCCAAAAGAAAGAATTATTTTACTGTTGAATTTTGAGAATTCTTTATATATTCTAGATGCACTTCCTTAGCTAGATCTATAGCTTGCAAACATTTTCTTGTCTTTTCATCCTCTTCCCAGAGTAAACGTTTTTTACTGTGATGAAGTCCAATTTATCAATCTTTCCTTCTATGGATACTTTTGGTGTCAAGTCTAAGAACTGTGTGCAGAGCCCTAGATCCCGAAGATTTTTTCCCCTCTTTTTACCTAAAGGTTTTACAGTTTTACATGTGAGTCCATGATCCACGTTGAGTTAATTTTTGTATAAGGTACAAGACAGATGTTCCTTTTCTTGTCTAGGGGATGAAAAGATTAATTCTTGGAAGCCCATCTTTGAAGCTGTTTAGGGGCTTTTTTGTTTTCCCTTTACTAGCTCTGGTAAAGGTGAAAACCCCTAGACCAATCTCTTTGCTTCTGTCCTTCAGCATCTCAGTATAGGGGATCTCTGGATGGGTCCAGATACAAAACTGAAAACTCTCATGCTTCCAACATTGAATTGTTTGCAAAATTTTTTGATGAAATGATCAAATGAATGTAAGATTACCAGCCACAGTTATTTTATTTTATTTTAATTTTTTTTTAAAGAGAGAGCACACACATTCAAATGGGGTGGGGGGGAAGGGGGACAGAGGGGGAGGGAGAGAGAGAATCTTAAGCAGACTTCCTGCTGAGTGCAGAGCCCGACGTGGGGCTCGATCTTACGACCTCGAGATCATGACCTGAGCTGAAATCAAGAGTCAGATGCCCAACTGACTGAGCTACCCAGGTGCCCCCACAGTTATTTTACTTTACAATGTTGCTGTGCACAATTACAGAGACCCTTTCTTTTCTCATGCCACCCGCCCCACAGTAAATTGGAAATCCAAGCAGGGACACTGAAACCTACAAATTCTCACTCTTAAACTTCCTTCCAGTCACCTCCAGGTTCAAGTCTTAAGACTCTAAAAAAAAAAAAAAAAAAAAAAAGATTCTACAGAGACACTCATTAATCCTCAGAGTCCAGAATAACAGAGTGTCTAAGGGGAGCCCTCTCCTGCGGCACTGGGGTCAAGGGAGAGAGGTTTTGGGCACGTCACTCTGAGACACATTTATGCAGATGGAGGTACCCCAGGAAGGGGTTGAGGTGGGAAGGGAAGCAGTCATAAAAAGGTAACTGTGGGTCTTTGTGAGCTTGGGAAGGGTGTTACTGTACTGCTGACTATGAGCCCAGATCTTCATACCACCAGCTGGATGTACCTTCCTTTCTTCGTTATTTTCACACAAAAATCAACCAGGTAAACAGAACTCACTTGCTCTGATCTCGACCCTGTGAATGACGTTTGGCTTTAAATGCATCCTCCTGGGTGGATGGATGCAAACTTCTGAGGGGCTCTGACTCCTGGCCCACACTTGTCCTTGGGTGGGACCTGGGCTTGCACTGACCCTTCTTCCCGTCTCGTGGTGCTCCCAGCCTGGACCTAAGTATCTCCCTGTCTCAGTCACTTCCTCACCCACCCTCATCCCAACCACCGCCACAAACCACAAACCACAAACCACAAATCTTAGATTACAACTCACACAACTCAGGTCTGCTCAAGTCACTGCCCCCAGAGATGACTCTCGTCTTCTCCAGAAGGTTCTGCCCCATGTATGGCTGCTCCAAGCTTTCCAGGCCTCACATCAGGCACCCTCCCCGGTGTCTGCTGTCCCTGCTTTGAAGTTGTCATCTGGTTCTCGGGCTCAGCGATTGACTGGAATCCTGCCTGGAGTCCCTGGTCCCCCTCCAGCCTTCTGATCCACCCACCACCAAACCCCTGCCAACAGCCCCTTTGTGGCCACTTATGCTCATCTGTAGCCATCTTGTGGACTGACGAAGCTTGTACTCCTGTGATATTTTGACAAGAGTCTATTTTCCATTTATGGAGGTGAGTGGAAATATTCAGATTATCCTCAGTTTTTTTGTTTTTAATATGAGGTCTTTCCCAAGTGTTCTGACTATATATGGACTAGCAATCGAGAAATGACCAAGTTTATAAAAATACCTGAAGGATAATCCCAGAGCTGTGCCACTGTGAAACAACGTTAGGGGTGAGTCAGTTAGGCAAGCTAAACAAAACTAGTTTCTTCTCTCCCCTGCCTCACCCTTTAACCAGGATGAATAATAGATGCCTTTTTCTACAGGTCAAAATACCAATTCTCATACAAAGATTTGATAGCTTGTCTCAGGAATGCTTCTAGACACCTTGCGATTGATTCTAGAATAAGACTTTTTTAAAAAGCAATCTGACCTCAAAGATGAGTAGCGATATAATGTAAATATATCAATTTCAATAGAGAGTACCATTTATGATCATGTTGTCATTGTGTAGACCTGTACTTTTCACGAAAAAATTCAGTTCTAAGTAACTCTGAAGGATTTTGCCCTTCCTTTGCAACTACTCCATAAGTACTGATGTACTCAAACTTTGCTTTTTGTCCCAAACTGTTCATCATTAAATGACTCTTTAATAGCTAGTTAATAAAATACCTTCACTCAATAAAGACCAGATTGTATAGCTGATAATTTCAGATTTTTTATGGAACAAGCTTCATTAACAGTGAATTTTTAATTCGCAAGTGTCAAACTCCCTAATGCACATTTAGAGGAAGAGAATGCTTAGAATAAAATTGAAATTCTTCCAATTGTCCTTATTCTTAGGCACGGCTTCAAAATTATCTTGCAGAATGAGAGGAGGGCTTTAAAAATTAACTATCGAGTAAGCTCTCTTCTTATTTTTTTCAGCAACAAGTTAGAAGTTTTGGGGTGCAAGCAGAGCAGTAGGGCAACTGGTGGCCTTGTGGGTTGGGTTCCCTGGAAACATTTAGATGGAGGC